GCTCTCCCCGCGCCCAGCTGCAGCAGCAGCAGCAGCAGCAGAAAATGGTAGTAGTAGCAGTAGCAGCAGCTGCTGCAGCAGCAGTAACAGCAACAGCAGCAGCAGCAGCAGCGACGACGAGACACTTCTTCCGGTGTACGCGCAGTCCTACATAGACAGTTTAGACGCCCGAGGGCGCGACGCCCTTTGGGCCCGCCTGGGACAGCAGCAGCAGCAGCAGCAGAAGCAGCAGCACCAGCAGCAGCAGCGTGGGGACTTGAGCCCCGACGCTGCTGCTGCTGCTGCTGCTGCGGACAAACTGCTGCTTCCAGTGCGTCCTGCACATGTGCTGCCGCCGCTCTTCGGCTACTATGGATCGCCGGAGGATTGCGAGCAGCAGCAGCAGCAGCAGCTGGTGGTGTCCCCCGTGCCTCCTGCTGCAGCAAACAGCCGCCCCGAAGATGCAGCAAAACGCACAGGGATCCCCTTGGCCTTAGAGTACAACAGGGAAGCAGGTTTGCTGCTGCCGCTGCGGGGACTGGAGCTGCTGCAGCAGGAGATGCAGCGAGTTACTATTGCTGCAGCAGCAGCAACACCCACGGCTACGGAGGCAGCAGCAGCAGCAGCAACGGCTGGAGCAACAGCAGCAGCAAACGCGGCAGCAGCAGCAACTCACAGCGGTCTAGGAACGCCGCAACAGCAACAGGCTAGCACTGAAGATGCAGCAGCAGCGGCAAGACCAGCAGCAGCAGAAGCAGCAGCAACATTGGCGGAAGCAGCAACAGCGGTGGCAGCGGAAACTCCAGCGGCAACAGCAGCAGCAGCAGATGCAACAGCAGCAACCATAGTAGCAGCAGCAGCAGATGCAGATGCTGAAGCTAAGATGCTGGGATATGCGGAAATGGACACAGACTGCGGCAAAGATCAGCAGCAGCAGCAAGAGCAGAAGCAGGAAATTGATTCCAAAGAGGACTTGGAAGTGGAAATAGACAATGAGTTGGAGGAGCTGGAGACAGTTGAAAGCAAAGGACCTCAGCAGCAGCAGCAGCAGCAACCGCAGCAGCAGCAGCAGGAGCAGCAGGAGCAGCAGCAGGAGCAGCAGCAGCAGCAGCAGGAGCAACCGCCGACGCGGCAGCAGCAACAGGAGGAGCAGCAGGTCCAGCCGCAGGCGGAAAACCGGCAGCAGCAGCAGCAGACACAGCCGCAAGGCGCACAAGAGCCACAGCAGCAAGGGCAGCAGCAGCAGGAGGAGCTGCAGCAGCAGCAACAGGAGCTGCAGCAGCAGCAGCAGCAGCTGCAGCTGTGGCAGGATACTGAGGGTGGCTGGATGGAGACAGAAGCAGAAAACCTGACATGGCGTTTAGTTCGCCTTGCGCAGGAAAAGAGGCACATGTACGGCCAGTTAGGGTTAAGGGTTTCTGGTTTAGGGTTTAGGGTTTAGGGTTTAGGGTTTAGGGTTTTGGGTGTCGTTGCTGTGCAGCCTCAAGGACCTTATCTTGGCGGTCTCTTCAGAGCGGCGGCCGGCGCTGCAAGAATGGGCACAAGCTGAGGACGTGAGCTGCTGCTGCTGCTGCTGCTGCTTCTGTTGCTGCTGCTTTTGTTGCTGTTGGTGGTTTCGCTGCTGCTGGTGGTTGCTTTTGGTGGAATTGACGTCGCTGCGTGCGTCGCTTCTGGGGTTGTTTGCGTTTTTGCCCTTTGCCCGTGCTGCTGCTGCGGTTGCTGCTGCTGCTGCATCTGCTGCTGCTGCTGCTGCTTCTCCCCCCAGCTTCCGCT